AGTACATTGAAAATCACTGAAGTGTTAGAGCCCACTCTCAGACTACAGTGGAATCAAAGAAGAAATGATTACAAAATAAGTTAACTACAAAGCTAGAAATGTTCCCAATGTTTGGAAAGGAAATAAAACCCAAAACTCACTGCCACCAGTGGTTGCTGACTCTTAGTCACCATAAGAGAACAGGGTAGAATGGTGCCTGTGTGCTTCTGAGACTGTGGCTCTGCACTTTCAAAGAGCCCGTACAAAAGCCCCGGTAGCATGAAAGCTAAGCATTTGGCTGCTAACTAAAATGTTGGCAGTTCAAACCCACCCGCCTCTGTGGGAGACAGATCTGGCGATCTAGTCTCATGATGATTGTTGTGTTTGTTACAGTGAAGAAAACTCTGTTGTTGTTGTTGGGTGCTATTGAGTCAACTCGGAGACCCGTACTGACCCCAGCACAAGAGAACAAAACACTGCAAGGTCCTGCGCCATCCTCACAACTGCTGCCATGGCTGAGCTCACGGAAGCAGCCATTATGTCCATCCATCTTGTCCGGGGCCTTCATCTTTTTCACTGCCCTCCAGGTTACCAAACATGATGCCCATCTGCAGAGACTGGTCTCTCCTGACAACGTGTCCAAAGTATGTGAGACAAAGTCTTGCCATCCTAGTCTGTAAGGCGACCCCTGGCCACCACTTGTCTGTCGGTTTGTCATGCTGTGGTGGCATTGTGTTGTTGTGATGCTGGAAGCGGTGTTCTTGGTGTTTCAAATGCCAGCACGCTCACCCAAAGTGAGCAGGTTTCAGTGGCGTTGCCAGACTAAGAAAACCCTATGGGGAACTTTTACTCTGTCACTTGGGGCCACTGTGAGTCGGGATCAACTCAAGGACATCCAACAAGAGCCACAACAAATAATCCATGGTCCACAAGAAGAATCACAAATAAAAATTCTCAGTATTTTAACTGAATGACAATGAAAGTTCCCCATGAGATAATTTGCAGAATATAGGCAAAACGGTGCTTCAAGGAAATGAGTAGCTCTAAGTTATATCTATTATACATTTCTAAATGCACTTGGCATAAAAGAAATGGTATAAAGTCAATGATCTAAGTTACCAAGTCCAGAAGTTAGAAAGCATTTAAACTACATCAAACCCAAGAAAGTAGAAGAAGGGAAATAATAACGATAAGGGCAGAAATCAATATAAAAAAACAAAAACAAAAAAGTAAGGATGGGGATGGGCAGAGGAGTCCACAGAGTCAGAAGCTGACTCTTTGAAACAATGCACACGTATCAGGGCTAAGGAAATTTCTGAAAAGGATGCGAATTAGAGTGACCCTTCACCACTTCCATTTATGGACTTTAGATAGAACCAGTTGGGTAGATGAGAACAGTCCCAACTGGAGTTTCTTGGAACAAGGGGACCCAGGTGCCCCATTGGAGTAAAGGGGAGTCTAAACTAGGGACCAAATAATTGCACCAGTTTTAGAAGTCCAAGCTGTACTGAAAGCTTTAGCCCCAAGCAAACAGGGACCTACTCTTGTAGAATATTGTTATGGATTGAATTGTGTTCCCCACAAAATCCGTGTCAACCTGGCCAGGCCATGATGCTCAGTGTTATGTCATTTCCCTCCACTTTGTGATCTGATACAGTAATTATCCCTTCCTTGGAAAGGGCACCATACTTAGTAAACTAGAGCATGTCCCAAAAGAGGAAGACTCTCCTGGAGATGGACTGACACAATGGCAGCAATGCTGGGCTCAAACTTGAATACAATTGTGGGGGTGGTGCAAGATGAGGCAGGGTCATGCGTCACAAAGGCTTGTGATGTGTTGGAATCAACTGGATGGCACATGGCAAGAACACCATGTGTTGTCAATCCTAACCTCCTCTGATGTGGATGGAGCATGACTAAAGGCAGGGAAGTATACAATCTGTAACATTTGGCTGAATCTTGAGTCAAAATCTTTTGAGACACAGAAACGATTAAACAAGCACTCTGAAAGGAGCCCACTGCTTGTCTGTCACTTTGTTGTACTGTGGTGGCTCGGGTGCTGCTGTGACACTGGAGGACAGGTCATTGATATTTCAAATGCCAGCAGGGCCACCCCAGGTGAGCGAGTTTCTATGGAGTGTCTCAACTAAGAACAGATTACTATGGAGTGTCTCAACTAAGAACAGATTACTAAGAAGGGATAGACTGTCCCCTTCTGAGGAATTAGCCATGGAAACCCTTAGGGACAGACTAGAAACACTGTTAGATGCTGAAAACCTCATGCAAGGAAACAGAACCATTGCTGGAGATGGTACCAGAAGATGAGCCCCTCAGGTTAGATGGCGCTCAAAAGATGACTGAAGACGAGCTGCCTTCTCAAAGGAGAGTCCACCATAATGACGTAGACGGAGTAAAGCCTGTGTGAGTAAAGGCTTTGAAATTTTCATTTGTAGATGGGGCATGATGCAAAACGAGAAGAAACAGCTGAACACATCAATTAGTAATCAGACTTGGAATGTACAATGTATGAATCTAGGAAAATTGGAAGTTGTCAAAAATAAAATGGAATGTATAGAGATCGATATCTTAGGCATTAGTAAGCTGCCATGGGCAGCTATTGGCCATTGTGAATCAGAAACTCATATGGTTTACTATGCTGGGAATGACAGATTCAAGAGGAATGGAATCTTATTCATTGTCGAAAAGGGCATTTCAAGATCTATCTTGAAGTATAATGCTGTCTATGATAGGATTATGTCTATAAACATTCAAGCAAATCCGATCAATGCAACTATTATTCAAATGTATGCAGTAACCACCAAAGGTAGTGATGGATAAGTTGAATGATTCTACCAAGGTCTTCCAGTCTGGAATTGATCAAACATGCAATCAAGATTTATTAATAATTATTGGCTATTGGAATGCAAAAGTTGGAAATGACGAGAAAGGGGCAGTAATTGGAAAATATGGGCTTGGTGATAGACACAAAGCAAGAGAGCGGTAGCATGATAGAATTGTGCAAGACCATTGTCTTCTTCGTCACGGATGCCTCTTTTCCCCCTCCAACAACACAGAAGGAAACCACCCACATAAACTTTTCCAGGCGGAAGACACAGAAATCACATTTTCTACATTTGTGGGAAGAGATGCTAGAGAAGCTGAATATTAGCAACTAAAACCAGGCCAGAGGCTGACTGTGGAATTGCTCAGATGTAAGTTCAGTTTGAACAAATCCATGAGAGTTAAAATATGACCTTGCATCTATTCCACCAAAATTTCCAGAACATCTCAAGAACAGATTTGTTGCATTGGATGCTAGTGACAGAAGACCCAATGAGTTATGGGATGGCGTCAAGAACATCATACACGAAGAGAGCAAAAGATCATTAAAAACAAAACAAAACATGAAAGAAAGCAAAGATCAAAGTAGATGTCAGAAGAGACTCT